CACGTTTCTATAGAACAAAGTCCCACACACTCGCTCACTGCCTTTCAGCTCTCTAGGTCAGAGTCCAGGTGGCCTCAGCAGGGCTTGCTGCTTAAGGTTTCAGGCCAGAATTAAGATGCTGGTCCAGGAGCTCTTCCTAGAGGCTCTGGGGGAGAATGGCTGTCTTGGTGACAAACCCTGCTCCTTGTGGTCGTAGAGCTGAGGGCCTGGTTTGCTTTCTGTCAAGCTGGGATCTCTCAGCTCCCGACAGCTACTTGCAGTTCCTCTCCTGTGGCCACATCCATTCTCAGGCCAGCAACAGTGCACAGAGTGTCCTGTGCTTCGGAACTCTGGCTTCCCCATTAGCTTCCAGCTGGAGAATGCTCCCAGCTTTTAAAAGGCTCTGGAATGAGGCCAGTCTGCCTGGATGCCCTCTCTTTGTCACCCAACATAAAATGATCACAGGAGTGACATCCCCTGTTCACAGATCGTATCCACACCCGCAGGGAATAGATCAGGCCAGTGTGAGCATCACCAATGCCAAGTTAGAGTTCTGTCTGCTGCCCTTGAGGATGTCCTTGAGTAATACACACAGGATGGAGGGTCGTGATAACAATTTACTCTCAATGGTTCAGAAAAATATTAATCATATATCTACATGCAAAGAGTGAGTGTGCATGTGAGCTCATGAAAGAAAAATGGGACAAAATATAAACAATTGGCATTCCTTGTATTACTATTGAAACTTTTATTAAGTTTGAAATTATATCAAATTTTTACTAAAAAAAGAAAAAAGCTAGACCACAAAAGTCTAGTCCTCCATTAATGCTAAGTGTACTTCTATTAATACTAAAGTTTCTTACCTTTCTACCTCATCCTGCTTCAGGTCTAGAATCTGGAATCATAAAAGGAAGAGAGGAGCTGCTGGGCCTGGTGGCACATGCCTGTGATCCCAGCAACTAGGGACGCTGAGGCAGGAGGATTACAAGTTTGAGGTCAGCCTCAGCAACTTAGCCAAAACATGTCTCAAAATAAAAAGGACTGAGGGGTGGCTCAGTGGTAGGTGGCCTCTGGGTTTAATCCTCAGTACCACAAAAATAAACGTTTTTTAATAAAGACAAGGGCTATTGTCTTCCTGCCCCCAGCTTATTCCAGGGCTTCTGCTGCACCCCGGGAGGGAAATGGGGTAAGTAAGAGATGTACAGGAATGGTTTACCTGGCCTCCCTGTCATCTGACACCAGCTCTTTACAACTGTGATAGTTTAAAGCTGATTCTTTGGATATGTTTGGGTTCCACAGACCAACCCCCTCCCAACCCTGTCACCGGGGACCTTTTTTTTTTTTTTTTTTTTTGCAGGGGGGGTGGTACTCAAGATTGAACCCAGGAGTGCTTTTTACTTTTTAAGCTCATCCCGAGTCATTTGTATTTTTTATTTTGAGACAGGATCTCTCTAAGTTCCTGAGGGTCTCGTTAAGTTGCTGAGGCTGGTCTTGCATTCCTTCTGCCTCAGCCTCCTGAGTTGCTGGGATCACAGGTGGGCACCATCATACCTGGCTTCTAGGGACCTCTTGACATGGGTAAATGTCTTCTTTGACTTTCTTCTTAGGTTCCTTCATGGAGGGACCATCACACCAGGAAACAGCTATCATGGCAGAACCTCTGAAGTATGGTTCTGGACCTCTTCTCTTCCCTGCATGGCCCACACCTGGACCATGGAGAGTACATAATTATCCTTTGCTCAGACAAACCTTGGGAATGTAGGCAATTTCCACCAGGGCCCCTGTGAGGGCACCCACTCTCAGCATCTGCCTTTAACCCTTCCTAGGCCTGGATTCATGGCCAGCCCCACAGCTCCAGGGGACATAACTCAGGATGCATTTCTATAATTAGGAGAAAGAAACACCACCCTCCATAGTAGGAAAGAGAAACTCATAATCCACTTGACAACTTTTTCCAGAAACATCTCTAATACCCAATATCCTGACCCAGTTTTAGCTCCTTGATTCCTTCTTCCTGGGTGAGGGCCAGGGCCATCCTCCTTCCAAGTGTGCCTCCATAGTCCAGCTTGAGAATGGATGATGGTTGGCTCCTACTTTGGGGCCTCCAGCCCAGACAGACCATGCTTGAACACCTTGCTGCCGGGTTCACTGCTCCTTCTGTTTGTTGATTTAGATGTATCTCTTGGTTCCTACTGTGGAAAGTGCAGACATGCCTCTCATGTCTCCCAGGCCCACTTCTCTTCCCTTGTCCTCTCAGAACAGGTGTCACACACTTTCATGGTTCCATCAATGTAAGTTATTTGCCTGGTTGTAATTATGTGTTATTAACTATTGAGCAAAGCAGTATATTATGGTGATATTTTCTTTGTTGTAGGACTTTCTCCCCGGAATTGGAATTTTTTCATATTTTTATTTTGCTAGTATTTGTCCTCTCTCCAAATCTTCCCAGACTATCCAGTGGAGTTACAGAACTCCTCTGGAGTCTTTCCACGTGGTGAACAATCATATGATCTGTTGGTCTTATCCTTCATTGGGCCTTCCTCTCCCTTGCTCTGTCTAAACTAGTGATTAATCTAGTTACTGGGCCTGCCATGTGGCCTTAGCCTCTCCTTGTCACTTCCCCACTTCCTGGACCTGTCTCTTCTTTCATGATGTGTGTCTTCAATTTGTGGAAGCCCGTCTTTAAGTAGCCTCCTAGGCAGGGTGGATAGGAGGACATTTCTTTTCTTTAAGACTCTACATGTCTGAAGATGCCTTATTCTACCTGCACAGCTGGTTGATAACTTGATGGCCATAGAATTCCAGATTAGAACCCCGTTTTCCTCACCATTCTGAAAGCATTACTCTGTTAGTTTTTATTGATGCTGTTGAGAAGTCTAATGCCCATTGTATTTCTAAATCTTTGAACACTACTTATTCTACTCTAAAAGCTTATAAAATTTATTCCAGTGTTCTGAAATGTCTCATGACATGCCTTTATATGGGAGTTCACTTATTTTTTGTTCTGGCTGTTGGGCACTTTTCTTCCACTTTGTAGTTTAGGGAAGTGTTCTGTTCTTAAATTTTTTTCCTTTATGACTTCTTCCTATATATTCTCTTCTCTTTCTTCCCCAAACTCCTCTATTAGCTAGATATTGGACTTTCTGAGTTGAGCCTTGGGCTTTTTTTGTTTCCCATGTTCTGCTTCTGTCCTTTTCACCGAACTTTCTTAGAGGTCTCCTCTGTTTTTTTTTCCTAACAATTCTATTTTTTAAATTTTTCTATTGGATTTTTCTATTTTATAAGCTTCTTTTGTGGATGACTATCATTGCTTTTTTCACTGTGAATACTTACGCTTTTTTTTTTTTGGTCTTTTGTGTGGCCTGGATTGAACCCCGTTCCTTATGCATGCTGGGCAAGTGCCCGACCACTGAGCTACACCCCAGCCTGTGAATATTAGTTCTGGATTGTTTGGAGTCTTGTTTTGCTCCCTGCAAGATCTTTAGTTCTTCCAGGGCTTTTTCCTACTTGTTTTGGTTTTTCTCTTTCATGTTGGAGTCTCTTGAAGAGTTCTCTCTATGTTCAGTCCTATTTAAAAACTGAGGGGAAGCTCTGCATGTGGCTGGAACTCAACAAAGAGTAGGTGACACTGTAGGGGACCAGCTCAAGCCTGGATGTCTCACTGAGGAGTCCACAACACTGTCTGTTGATGTTTTGGCGGGAGAGTGAGGGGCAGTTCTATTTCTGCAAAGCCAACTCTTCGCCTCTGCTTGGAGGTATGAGCCGAGCCCTGGCTCCTGGAGCCAGCAGCGCCCCCAGCCTTGGTGTGTCCTGGCGTTAGCACCGTGCTTCTTCAGCATCCTGGGATCTGGAGCCTTTCTTGGTAGGTTTTCCTACGGAATCTCTGTTCTCCCCCGAGGTGAGGTGATGGTGTTGCCTGGCTTCCTGGGATGGCTGAGAGGTCCTGGGGTCTGTGTAGACTTTGATCTCGTTCCCTGCTCCCTCGCTCCCTACCCACTCCCTTCCCTCACAGCAAGCAGAGCCTGCTGGTTCTTAATCTCTTTGGGATTTGGGGCTGCAAACAACTTGCTTCTCCTTGTCCCCCCCTCTGCAGGTGTGGATATGCATCTGTTGGTTCTCTCTTTTATTTCCTTTTCTTCTTCTAAAAATGTATCAGCTTTTTTTGGTCCAATATTTCTCTTGGGCTTATGCGTCTTTTTATTATTATTCCTTTACTCTCATTTTAGAGATATTTCAAGAATGATGTGAGTTCAATCAACCACACTTTTAATAATTTATTTTTTATCACAGTAGATAATAGATACTAATAAATACCTACATAGTAAACTTAAATGTATTTAAGTGATCCAAAAGATGAGTAGCAAAAAATAATCCCTCTTTTCCCAACCTTCTTCCTCCCCAGAAGTTACCAGCTGCTTATATGCCCTTCCAAAAAAAGTCTATACACACATTCATGTAGACATGAAAACATGCAAGTAGATAGTAATGGGCTTTATTTTTAAAAAAGGAAGCAATTTCTTAGCATATCCCTGAAAAATAGTTACATTTTAAATAAGGGGTAACTTTCTTTTACTCAGATTTCAGGATCCATTGAAGGTGGTGAATTTTCAGGGGTGCGTCAAATAGCCTGTGCAGTTGGCCACCTAAAGTGCACTAGGGGATGCATGCATGGGGCAGTTGTGGGTGGTGACATCCACTTCTTGTGAGGCTTTCCTTTTCACTCTGCCTTTGCTCTCCTTCAGTTGTATCCTCTGCTTTTCCTGTTTTTCCTCTTCCCCTCTGAATGCATCTCACTGGCCCCGGCTCCTATGGCTGATCCACAGAGCTGCAGAGGTGAGCCATCCTCTGGCAGGGCGCCCCTAGCCATCTCTTTGGCACTCTGGGTGGGTGTGCCCTCAGCTTGCCCTGGCTGACTGACCAAAGACAGACCCCACTGCGTGGACTGGGGGCCAGGTGCAGAGGGGCTGCTGAATAATGGTCTGGAGCAGTGGCAAAAGTGTGACTCTTCATTTCTGCAACAGGGCCTGCTGCTGCAAAGCCAGACTTGATCTCAAAACTGGAACGGAGAGCTGCCCCCTGGATCAGAGACCCGATCGGACTGAAGTGGGGGAGTGGTCGGTCCCCAGGTGAGTCTTCACCAACTGAATTCTGAAGGTCTTATGTGCAGGGGCCTTTACAGCTATGACAAGTAACACGACATTAGTTCAGCCATGTTTTTCCTGGACCTGTTGTGCGTCAGGCCCTGGGTAGGCGAAGGTGACTAAGAAACAAGGCCTGCCCTCAGGTGTGAATGGTCTAGGAACTGTGACAGTAAGGGGAAAAGGAGGTTCTTTAATGAACAGAAGTGCCAAAGGACTCTGTGGCAGAGCTAGCAGGAGAAGGGACATGGGGGACATGATGGACATGAGGAACCAGGTGGCCCACAGGTGTCGAGCCTGTCTTCCCCTCTCCCCTGGGTGTATAGTGACAAGAGTATAAGGAAAGGAATGTGAGAATGAGCAATTTTGTGCATCTCAGTCACAACCTGCTGGCTAGTAGCTGCCTGTGTGCTCTACCTCCCTGCTTTTCTCATTTCACAAGAGGATTAATGCCACTTCTTTAATAATATCTGTGGCCAAGGGTGATTGATTAAGCTTCTGAGCATAGGCATCATATGATCCCAGAGTAGCTAAAAGGATGGACAGGAGGGGAGGCCAACAAAAGCGCCCACAAGGACACACACTACTCCTGGGGAGACAGATTGACTTTCTTTTTTTTTTTTTTTAATTTTTTAGTTTTGGATGGATCCAACACCTTTATTTTATTTATTTATCTTGATGTGGTTCTGAGGATTAAACCCAGTGTCTCACATATGACAGGCAAGTGCCTTACCACTGAGCTACATACAACCCCAGCCCACCAGATTGACTTTCACAAGTAATATGGTGAGGGGTTAAGTAGAAGTCACTAATGATTTCTAGAAAGAGGGGTCACCTTCAGCTCCTCTGCTTTGCATAAGGAGCACTTATTGATTGGGAGTATCTTAGTTGGTAGAAGACTGCAGAGCTCTGGCAGCAAAACTAATCACAGTGTTATTTCCCCCAAAGGGAAAAAGAAAATGGTAGCAGAAAGAGAGGCAGATGCACAATCCTGGGCTGCAGAATCGGCATCACTTCCAGCTCCTCCTGTGGAATCTTATGCCTACTGCCCTTCCAGCACGTGTGAGGTAGAAGCAGAAGGACCTAGGAAAATCCAGAGGACTTACCGACCCCGATCCATTCAGAGGTCGTGGTTTGGGCAGTTCCCGTGGTTAGTAATTGACCCCACAGAGACCACGCTCTTTTGCTCAGTCTGCAGAGAGAGACCTACCCTCCATGACAAATCATCTCGGTTAGTTCGAGGCTATACTGGGCCTTTTAAGGTGGAGACTTTAAAATATCACGAAGTCAGCAAGGCACACAAACTCTGTGTCAACACTGTGGCCATCAAAGATGACAGCCCTCAGGCTGCCCTAATCCCAGAGATCTCTAGTGACCTCATGGCCAACATGGAACACTTCTTCAATGCTGCCTACTCCATCGCATACCACTCCAGGCCCCTGAATGACTTTGAGAAGGTCCTGCAGCTCCTCCAGAGCACTGGGACTGTGATTTTAGGTAAGTATCGAAATCGCACTGCATGCACTCAGTTCATCAAATACATCTCAGAGACTCTGAAGAAGGAGATCCTTGGTGACATCCGGAACTCTCCGTGTGTGAGTGTGTTGCTGGACAGCTGCACAGACTCCTCTGACCAGGCCTGTGTGGGGATCTACATCCGTTACTTTAAGCAGATGGAAGTGAAAGAGTCATATATTACCCTGGCCCCTCTCTACAGTGAGACAGTGGATGGGTACTTTGAGACCATCATTGCTGCCCTGGATGAGCTGGACATCCCCTTCCGGAAGCCTGGCTGGGTAGTAGGCCTGGGGACTGATGGCTCCACCATGCTGAGCTGCAAGGGAGGCCTCATGGAGAAGTTCCGGGAGATCATCCCCCAGCTGTTGCCTGTCCATTGTGTGGCCCACCGGCTGCACCTGGCTGTGGTGGACGCTTGTGGGAGCATTGACCTGGTGAAGAAGTGTGATAGGCACATCCGAACTGTCTTCAAGTTTTACCAGTCCTCCAACAAGAGACTGAGCGAGCTGCAGGATAGTGCGGCTGCCCTGGAGCAGGAGATCGTCCGCCTAAAGGACCTGAATGCGGTCAGGTGGGTGGCCAGCAAGAGGCGCACACTGAACGCACTCATTGTGAGCTGGCCTGCCCTGGCAAGGCACCTCCAGAGTGTGGCAGAAGCAGGGGGCCAGATTGGGCACAGGGCCAAGGGCATGCTGAAGCTGATGAAGGGCTTCCATTTTATTAAATTCTGCCACTTCCTGTTGGACTTCCTTAGCATCTACAGGCCCTTGTCTGAGGTGTGCCAGAAGGAGATCGTTTTGATCACAGAGGTGAACGCCACACTGGGACGGGCCTACGTGGCACTGGAGACCCTCCGCCACCAGGCAGGACCCAAGGAGGAGGAGTTCAATGCCGGCTTCCAGGATGGGCAGCTCCATGGCGTCTTCCTGGAGAGGATGGAGATGGCAGAGCAGCGGTTCCAGGCTGACAGGGAGAGAATGATCCTGACTGGGCTCGAGTACCTCCGGCAGCGGTTTGATGTGGACCGTCCCCCTCAGCTCAAGAGCATGGAGGTATTTGACACCATGACCTGGCCCAGTGGGGTTGAACTGGCCCACTTTGGGAATGATGACATTCTCAGCCTTGCCAGGTATTTTGAGCTCTCCCTTCCTACAGGGTACAGTGAGGAAGCGCTGCTGCAGGAGTGGCTGGGTCTAAAAGCCACTGCCCAGAACCTCCCGTTCTCCATGCTGTGTAAAAACGCCCTGGCCCAGCACTGCCGCTTCCCCTTGCTGAGCAGGCTTGTGGCTGTGGTGGTCTGTGTGCCCATCTCCACCTCCTGCTGTGAGCGGGGGTTCAAGGCCATGAACCGGATCAGGACTGACGAGAGGACCAAGCTCTCCAATGAGGTGCTCAACATGCTCATGATGACAGCGGTGAATGGTGTGGCAGTCACAGAGTACGACCCCCAGCCTGCCATCCAGCACTGGTACCTGACCTCCTCAGGCCGGCGTTTCAGCCATGTCTACTCCTGTGCCCGGGTGCCAGGCGGCTCCCACACAAGTAAGTACAAGGCAGTTTCCCCACAAGGGTGACAAAGCAGAGAACCTCATTAGCCAGGTCCCATGCAGAGCCAGAAGTGGGATTGAGGGAGCCCACAGAAGAGGTTCAGTTCCCAGGGGCTTCTGCCCAGCCAGGCCAGTGGATGCTAGAGACATAAGAGCTACCCTCACAGGTGTGTACCCAACCCAGAGAGACCAGAGCATGGGCTCGAGGCAGCAGGCATGGTGAGAAGAATATGCAGTTCTGCAGCCCGACAGCCACCCTGGCTGTGGCCGGGCGCAGGTCAGCCTCCTGGGGCTCTAGTTTTCATCTTAGAGGTAGTAAGTCTACTCAGAACCCTGAGAGCAGTCTGGCCAGTAATACAGATGGCACCAAGTGAAGCCTGCAGAAATTAAGCTAGAGGACTGGATGGGGCAGGGCAGGGCATCATGTCCTAAGCAGGGTGGGTCAACCCTGGGCTGTGTGGGGATTGGCAGGAGGGAAGAGGACATCGTGGGTCGGGGTGGCAGTGGAGGAGATGAGGCAGAGGGAAGGCAGGTGTCTCAGGCAGTGAACAGAACAGGAAAACGGCCACCTAGACCACAGAGCTCATTTTGGTCACAGGCCTGAGGGTGGCCATGTCACACCAGAGGGCACACTACTGACAGCTGTAAACAAGAAATCTCCCTCTTAAGTAGTCACTGAGAACCAAGGCAGAGGCCCAAGTCACGGGAGTCCTCCAGGCTGTTCCCGTTTGCTCAGTAGGGACAGAGTGGGTGTCTTCTCCTAGCTGTTCGCCTTACCACCTCTTCCCTTCTCTCTGTCACCTCTGTGCCTGTGGTCATCAGCAGTGGGACTGAGTGCCAGGGTGGACTCGGGCTCTGCAAGAAGCCAAGTGGCCCTGAAGCCGCAGCTGGGGCAGGAGGCAGTCCCTCCCATATGAGAGACTGAGAGCCCAGAGGGGCTTCAGTGAGTTCTGCACACACCAGTCAGTTAAGGGAACGTGGGGTGAAGGAGGCAAAGGCGCCATTGGGTGCCCTCCAGCAAGCTGTCCAGCCCACAAGGCCAGGTACTCTACCTGGGAGGAAACAACTGCTGCATGTGATGACACCCTCCTGCCTGGGCAGGCAGTGGACCCTTCAGCAGAATATTTCCTGTGGTAGCCTCCATGCATTGTGTGGACACTAGTACCCGCCAGTTGTGACAATCAAAAGTGCCTCCAGACATTGCTACATGTCTGCTAGGGACAGATTCCCACACACAGCCCTGCCCAATGCTGAGCTCCCTTGCCAGGGAAAAACACCAGACAGAACAAGGGTTGCGAGGTGCAGTGCTGGGCCACCTAGCCTGTCCTGCACGCAGTCTTCAGCACGCAGGCCTGAGGGCGTGCTTGGCTGGTTCTTTTGCTTGGTCTGTTTGTCATTCTCCTCTCCTGCACAGGTGCGGGGCTCAAGAAGGAGGGGATGGGAACACTCCACATGGAGGGCCCTGTGGCCCGGAAGCCACCCGTCCCGCCCTCCAGGGAGCCCTGGAGGTTCTGAAGGACTGCATCATGGAGCCTCCTGAGACTCCTGTACCAAGCACCAGCCCAGGGGCCACACATGGTTCTGAGCAAGTGACAGCCTGGAGAAGGCTTTGGGAATCCCCTAATGACCCTGGCCCTTTTTCCCCAACTTATGAGAACAGGCCCTCTGCAGGTTCTAGGATGTCCTGGCAGACATGCCCCTAAAGGCCCAGAAAGTGGGCAGATGGTTGAAACCAGCATTCCCAAAGGACAGGGTAATTAGGAGGTGTGCCACTAATTGCCCACGGTTGTATCTGAGCACAGCAGTGCCTCGCCACTCCAAATAGGCCAGCGAGCTGGGCATATCAGGGCATTTCTCTACTGCGCTTGGGCCTGCTTTTAGGATGCAGCAGAGGAAAACCCTTTGCGTGGAGCACCAAGATGGATTTTGTTCCACAGCTCCAGGGGTGAGATGAGTGCTTTCCCTGGAGGAACTCCCCCCAGCGCCACTGGAGCCCTTGGGCATGGCCAGCATCAGAACAAAAGAGTACATGGGATCAAGTCTGGAGCTGGGGGATGTGAGATCAGACCAGCTCCACTGCAGGCAGTGGCTCGCCATGGTCAATTCCTTCCTTTCTGTGCCTCAGTTTCCCCGTCCATGCAGTATAGCAGAGTCCAAGTGCCTGCTGGCTCCCCGTCTGCCATACCATTAGAGAAGGCTCTCTCCAGGTCTCCATCCTTAGTGGGACAGTAAGTTTTGCCCCCAGAGTCCTGCTGTGGGCTGAGGTGCTCTCCACATGTACCTTCAACAGGACAGGCATGCCCATGCTCCTGCAGCCTGTTTGGGGGGCTCTGCTGGGAACCACCAGGACTGCCTGTTAAGTGTGCCCCACCCAGGTATGTGGAATCATCCTGTCATGGCTTAGCTACTGGCAGTTTCTAAAAGGCTCCTGCAGGAACTCTTTGGTTATCCTGCAGCTTAAGAACGTGACCCTAAAGGCCCAGAGGGCCTCCTACACGCCCAGGTCCTTTGTCTCCTCCGCTGTCTTCAGCCTGAAGTGAAGCACTTTCCCTCCCCAGGGGAGGCAGCAGCTTGGCCTCTGCTGGCTCAGGGGCCTGCCCATCAGGGCGGGATGATTTGTCCAGGTTCTGCCTGCCTTAGCCATGGGTGAGAAGTAAGGAATATTTGAGGGGAGGGCTTCTCACGCCTGCCTTATGCCTGCAGGGGGGCCCTGCTCTATGGTGCAAGTACCCATAGTCACCCTGACCAGCAGTCAGCCTGATTCTTACGCCAACAGGTGCTGGAAGCCTGTGAAATGCTGGCAGCCAGGTGCCTCACTGTTATGCAGCTGCCCTGGATCCTGCATTCCTTCCTGTTACCCCCTTACACTCTGCCTTAGCACCTCATGTTCCTCTAGTCAGGAATTCCTTCCCCCTTCTGCCCCCACCCTGTGGAGCTATCTCCACACCGGCCCTCTGGGCCTGAGGGCTGAGGGACAGCCTTCAACCCTCCAGCTCTGGGAGGTGGCCACCTAGGGCACAGACCTCCCTCTCCCACCCACCTGCGTTTGAGCAGTTCAGGGATTTGCCAGGGCAGGGGTGGGGTTGTAGCCCCACCCCAGGGATTCCAGACTCAAGAGATGTTCCAGCAAGTGCCCTTCTAGTGGGTCTTCCATCCCTTCAAAGTCCCCTAAGTGAGCCACCAGTCTGAGCATTCAGGGTAGCTTTCTTCAGAGCAGTCTGGAAGGATGTTCTAGAGCCGAGGGGACTGTCAGGCAAGCAAGCGCCCTCCCTTTCCACTGCAGCACACTGTGGTCACCATCCAGTGCCTCCCGCTGTTGGAAAGGAATTGGTCCCTGAAGTGGCAACTGAAAATGCTGTTTATCCCAGGTGTTTGCCCTACCCCAAGTTTCTCGAGGGACCTGGGCCACCTCTGGTATGTCTTTGCCTGCTCAAGGCAAAGAGAAAAGAAGACAAGTGACATTCTTGTTGAGGACCCCTGGTGGCCATGTGGCAAGTGCCCTTCTGTCAGAACCTCAATGCCCAGGCTGGCCTTCTTGCTCTGTGTCCAGGGGCTGGCTGTGTTCTAGAGTCTGGGCCCTGGAGACCCGGGTGGGAAATGTGCCTGTGTTTGCCTCACAGGGAAATGAGCTGGGGGGCACTGTGAGGCAGGAGAAGCACTTCTTTTGGCCATTGTCTCCACCTCCTTCCCTGCCTGCAATTTTGACAGCATCTCCAGGCGCACATCCTGGCCCTTGGCCCTCCCTTCCTTGATGACTGACGCCCACAAGGGCTGACATTCTGAGTAACCAGCATTGTACTTGACACTTGATTGCAGTAGCCATAGAGACTGGGGGAGTGAGGGAGCTTAGCCCCTGTCCCAGCTGGGCACCTTAGAGTGTAACCAACTCCATAGCTTTGTTTCTGTGTGTTGCAAAGGGCAAGTCCCTAGGGTGCTCGAGACAAGGTCACCAGTTCCCTCACACAAGCGTCTTCATAGCCAAGAAACCAAAGGTGACTGGCCAGGAGTGTCCTTGCCTTCTCTAGTTTCAACAATGTACAAATGTGGTTTAAAAACCATGTTCAATTCTTAACCTTTTGTTATCTGAATAAAGCAGTTTATTTCAACACAAGCTTTTTAAGTCCCTGATTAAGACTCCGGAGATGAGGGATGTTGATCAGAGCTTGCTGGATCACCCCTCTTTCAAGAGGTGACAGGGTCCAGAACAGGTGGGCAGGGAAGCACGTGTGTGCCTTCAGCATTGTCTGGGTCTCTGTCCTTTCTGATCCTGGAGGTGAGCAGAGTCTGTTCGCAGTGAAAGTGGTGGGATGTAGTGAGGAGTGCCACTATCTCCCTGCCACCTGGCATGTCATAGTTAGCAGAGTCCTTTCACAAATGCTGTCTCATTGGATTTACTGGGAATATCAAAGCCAGACTATTGAGGGGAGAACATCTCTTTCCACCAGTAGTGCCAGACCTGCCACTCTAAAGAGTTCCTAAGGGACCAGCTCTCAGAATGCCACTGCAGCCCTGCTCTGCAGGCCACACATCCTTCCTGGCAGTAAAGAGCAAAGGTTTACTACAGAGGCTGAGGTACAACCGAGTCTTTTTGGTAGAGAAGAGTCGACTGTATCTGAGGACATTTTTTTTTTAAGACATTAAAACCACTGATTGAGCAGGGCATAGTGGTGCATCCCTGTAATCCTGGTGATTTGGGAGGCTGAGGCAGGAGGATTTTTGAGTTCAAAGCCAGCTTAGCAACTTAGTTAGGCCCCAAGCAACTTAGTGAGACCCTGTCTCCAAATAAAATTTAGAAAGGGCTGGGGACGTGGCTCAGTGTTTCAATCCTTAGTTCAGAAAACAACAAAAACTCCGTAAAAAGAGCTCAGACATTAATCTGGTGACAAGGACATACTACTTTCAGCCCCTATCACCCTCTCTTCCTGTAGTCCCAGCAAGATCACCTCTGAGAGCAGGATTGTGTGGATGTTGCAGTGGGGGCCAAGTGTGGCTCAGTGTCTCAACTCAGAGAAGTGTCCAGAATCTGAGAACACTGAAGTCCTGGAGCCAGGTGAGGCTATCTGGCTATCACTTCCTCCTGTCATCACAGCATCTGTTCAGGGATGACCTCTGCTAGGGAGTCAGGGCTCTCACTGCCACTTCAATAGCTCCTGAAGCAGCTGCTACTAGGAAGGCTGGGGAGCCTTCTATAGGCAAGTCAGAAAACGTTTCTATGAACAATGTCACAGAAGACAGTATGTCCCTAGGAAGACAGATGGACAGAGAAGTACCTGGCCCTTTGCTCTTGACTGCCAGGTTCAGTGAACCATACTAAATACCTGCCTAGGCCAACCTATCAGGAAATTTTCATGAGGGACCTTCTGTTTCAACCCTCAAGCTGGTTTCTATCATAAAACCCATCCCTCATCTTCCTCCCATACATAATGAGATGGAGTTTTGCAGAAAGAGCTCTTGTGTTCAGGGGCTTGTGAGGCAGAGTACTTCTGAGTGTAAGTTCCATCTGTGGCTGCTAGACGTGAACCTCTGCAGGAGTAAACAGGAGGTCACCCTACAGCTCCCACCCAGATTGTCTCTGTCCCTTCAGGAGTAACTGATCTCAGGAATTCCAAGGTGTTGCTGTAATTCTCACAGGCTATCCAACTCCCATCATAGAGGGGAAATGGGAGAACAAAGTTCTGAGGGATGTGGATCTGCAGGCTGCAGCCCGGACAGCTTCTGAGGCTCCAGGAACCTGATGAGCTCTGTGAGGGAATTCAGATGCCTGGCTAACAGGTGGTTTGGGGCCTTTCTTGGGGATGCTGGGAATCCTTCACCCAAAGCTCTTCTCCCTTTTACAATCAGCAAAAGCAGCAGCAGCATGTTCTGTGGAAAGACAGCCAGCCTCACTCTTCCTAAACCCACAGGTGTGCACACACACCTGCGCCAGTCCTGAAGCTGACTTGTGCTCCCTACTGAAATGCCATCAGTCGGAATAGTGGGAGTAGGTTTTAAGAGAACTCCAACACCACGCAGGAGAAATGAAGTTTATTTCAATGCAATTTCAAGAGTTCTAGGAGCTGTATAAAATAGTGTCACATTTTTCCTCTTTTAGAGGTTCCCAAGAAAGATCAAGCTCAACTAGTGACAGAGACAGCTGAGCTAGGAGTCTTCGACCAGCATGATAGTTTTAACATAGTGCATCACTCCTCAACTTGATTAGAATCTCCTCCGAGGCTAGGATGGCATTTTAAACCTAAGATCTTTGTGTACCACTCCCTTCCTACCTCTAACTTACATGGATACTGAAATGATGGAGGGTGGAATTTTACACTCAAAAATCTTTGTATCACCCACCTCCACCTCCGATAAATAAATGTTGAAATGATGGTTAAGAATGTTCAACTAGAGAATGGCGAAGGTGGATGTGACTGGTTCCTGCTTTGGGAAAATAGCTAGAACCATACATCACTGGCGGCGTCAGAATAAGGCATTTCCCCTCTACTGTATCACAGGCTCCTTTCCCGTGCTACGCAACCACTGAAGCCAGAAAATATATGTGGCAGGCTGCTTGGGGAGGCGACTGCTGCTAGAGCGACCTCTACCAGCAGGTAGAGGTATCTCTACAGAAAATAGTGATAGACGCTCTTCGTCTCCAAAGAGCCCAGGGGCAAAATCAGACTCACAGTAAGAGCGCCCTACTATGCTAGGTGCTGTCCCCATGCTCACTTCACTTTGTCCCCCAGCAACTTCATAGGAATTGCCATCCCCACTCTATATTTAAGCGGACAGTAGCTGTGCGCGGAGTCGGGAACCTAAACACAAAGCCGCTGCTGGGTTTCCTAGACTGAAGCCAGGAGAGGGCGCCGAAACCCGATGAGTGTGGGCTGCCCGGGGTCAGCCCTCGCGCCCACCTGGCCCCTCCGCATTCGCCGCCGGCCACTGAGGGCCAGAGCACAGGCTGAGATCCTGCCGCCCCCTAACTGGGCTCAGCTCAGCCGCTCTCGTCTACTGCGGCTTCCAGGACCCCAGATCCACATCCCGGTCCGCCGCCCCGGGAATGGGGAGATCGTTGGCTGCAGCGCAAGATCGGGGTACAAAGCAGGGACGACCTCTGGGATGACCCACGGCGCCAGGGGTCTTTGGGAACAAAAAAGGAGCGTGGGTCCCCAGTACACCTAGAGGGGGGCGTTTCTTTAGGTCCCGGGACCGTTCAGCCAATTAACAAATGGGGTCCTCGGAAGGACCGCCCTCTGCCGCTGAGTGACAGTGTAAAGGCTGCGTACCCACCAGGCCCGACCCCGAGATGCGCGTGCGCGGATCGTGCCCAGAGGAGAGCCTAGACCCCCACCTTGGGTCCCTCTGCGCATGCTCACTGCCCGCTGTCTGCAGTCAGCTGCCTGCTACCCGCTGTCCGGACCAGCGCAGCGTCTGTCTCGTCTCTCCGGCCAGCATCTCAGCCTGGGCATCCCGCGCCCACTATGACGACGCACTCCTTTGCCCTCCCAATCATCATCTTCACCACATTCTGGGGTCTCATCGGCCTCGCCGGACCCTGGTTCGTGCCGAAGGGACCCAACCGCGGGTAAGGAAGGCGCTCAAGGCTTGGCTGCCTACGCCCCCTCCCCTCTCCCATGCCTGGGCTCACCCCTCCCCGGGGCGACTTTTTTTTTTTTCCTTTTCTTTTTGTTTTTTGTTTCCCTGCTGCAAGCCAGCGCCCACAGCCGGGGCACCCCTCTGTGACGCCTCCACCAGGTCTCCGCATTCGGGCTGCATTCAGCTCAGGAACAGGCAGGAGGCCGGGGAGAAAGGGCAGATACCTAGGTGAAGAGCAAGCGACATTGTAGTTGCTGTCGTCCCCTCCTGACTGGCGGATGGACTATGATGCGATTTCTGAGCTTCTCGCCATCTCTGGGACCTTGAACAAATGTCAGGCCTCGGTTTTTTTCATAGTAAAATGGGGATGACTATGATCCCTGCCTCATAAGGCTGCTAATACCTGAAATAATGCACTTAAAACAGCAGTGTATGGCACATTTTGTATACTGGATAATTGTAGCTGGTATTAATTTTAGAAGGTTCCTTAGCATATTTCTGCGCCATTCATCATTTGCTGCTTCATATTGTCCTCACAAATCCGTTGTCTGATCAGCACTACCCACCCAGTGCCAACCAGGACTGGACCAAATTGCTAGGTAATATCGAAATAAGGGATCAAGAAAGTACTAGTTTCTCCAGCACCAATTGGAAGTGCTTTAGATCTGAGATCGAAGGCCCAGCTTTGGATTAGTTTTAGCCTAAGCTAAAAGGCTGGAGGCTGCTTGGATAAATGAGTGTTGCCATTGTTCTTAAAAATCTGCCATGTCAGCCAGGCGTGATGGCGCACACCTGTAATCTCAGCAGCTCTAGAGGCTGAGGGAGTATCGCGGGTTCAAAGCCAATTTCATCAATTTAGCGAGGCCCTAAATTACTCAAGGAGACCCTGTCTCTAAATTAAATATTTTAAAAAGTGGGGGTGTGGCTCAGTTGAGAAAGTGCCCCTGGGTTCAATTTCTGATACCAAAAAAAAAAAAAAAAAAAAAAAAATCCTCAGGGCTGCAGGGTCCCTCCACTTCACTTCGTAAACCATTTTAGTGTCATTCTTTCTGCCAAATTTGGTGGTTCTTTTTTGAGTCAACTGACATCTCTCCTGCTGCATTTTAAGCTTTTGTCTTCCGTTTTGATTAGATACAATGTTGCTAGTCCCTGTACTTTATAACAGTTCAGCCTCAAAAATGTCTCAAGGTCTCCTTGCCTCTTGCTCTGATTTCTGCTCTATTACGTTTTTTTCCCTGTCCAGTGAATTTTGCATCCCAGAGGCCACTCCACAATGTGCAGCTCTGGGCAATGACTGTTCTCAACATGTTTGTATTAAGATGGAGAAATCTTAGGAGATGGAAAAGGGAGATGAAGGCAAGTGTTGGTAACATGGCTTGGATGTGGGCAAGGTTAGCCTTCCCATGACATTTGAATTTTTCATTTACATCTTGCAGTTCTTACCCTGATAGGACTCAGCCTTCTGTGTTCCTGTGGCATCAGAAAGGCCATTGGGAACAGAGCTGACACCAGGAGCTCTTTCTCTGGCCCCAGCCAGGCCTTCTGGAAGTGCTGATTTCACCCTTCTGACCTGTGTCCTCTTCTGTTGCAGAGTGATCATCACCATGCTGATGGCCACCGCTGTGTGTTGTTACCTCTTGTAAGTACTGCCCTCCTCAGCTTTGTCCTGTTGTGCCCTGGCCTGCTCTTTTCTCTGCCTGGAAGTGAACCCTGCTTGAATGGCTGAATCTGTAACACAGGAGTGAAGGCTATGTGCAGGGGTCGTGAGATCAGATGAGGGCATAAGGGGAGTCATGGACTCCAGCTCTGGTGCTGGCTCTGCATGAATTTTGTAGCACCCACAAGCCAAGTTTTCCCACTTGTGGAACGAATGGGGTTGGACCAGCTCAGTGGTATCTGGACCTGGCTGGTCACCCAAATGGATCCTTCAAACATAGCTTTCATGTTCTACCCTGGATCCAGCATCACAGACAGGTCTCCAGTTTGCTCTTGGGAATCTGTATTTTTTTTTAAGTATTTATTTTTTAGTTTTAGGTGGACACAATATCTTTATTTTATTTTTATGTGGTGCTGAGGATCTAACCCAGTGCCTCATGCATGCTAGGCAAGCACTCTACCTCGGAGCCACAACCCCAGCCCAGGAATCTGTATTTTTTAATGAGTGGCCCCAGGCACTGGAGTGCAGCTGGGTTAGAAGCAGTAAGCAAGAACAACTCTTCATACTTGGGACAAGTACCCTGGAGGTTCAGAAAACCTAAGGATGCAAGTACCTGGGCACATGTTGCTTTTTATTTGTTTCTGTTTTTTGTTTTTCTTTTAGCACTTTCCCTGGAAAAATCACCTATAAGTTCCTTTCTCTAATGTTGTTTGTTGGTCCTTCAGAGTTTGGCAGAATGTCTTCATTTGCCCCAGGGAGGGCCTCAGAGGGGCTAAATTTGATGGATCAGAAACCAGAACATAAAGGATGATGGCCAGAAATTTGGGGAAATGGGGTACACACAAGATATGGGATAATTATTTAATACTGAATCAGCGTATAGGAAAACAAGCCACAGATTAGTTTCACAGAGACATTTTAAGAAAATTCCACACCTAGAAATTATATTTACAAGACATAAAGTCTGATGATGCTGATATAAAACAAGTAAGATTCCTGATGGCTTCCCAGCACTGGGTGCTCCCAAGGCTGCTGTAGGGGACTCTGAGGTGAAAGATGGATCCTTCCTGCAGAAACAGGCAGAGCACCATTGATAGGGGCTCTGAGCCAGGCACTCTCAAAATTTTCTGAGGCCTCTACTATGGACAAACAAAACGGGGACTTTTGCCCTAAGGGACAGGGCCAGACACCACCCAGATGCACAGCTGCTGTTGGGATGCCTTCATGTCCCTGGCCTGAAGGATAGAAGTGGCTCAGCAGTCGGCAGGCACCAGGCTGTCTGCCCCGCAGTTTCTCCTGTCCTGGGATATTCCTCCCTCTTATTCCAGAAAGGTGTGATTCTGGGCTGTGGGTGTAGCTCAGTGGTATAGCCTTTGCCCAGCATGTGTGAGGCCCTGGGTTCTGTCCCCAGCATCACAAAGAAAAAAGGCCATTCTGGCATACCACCCCTCCAGGCTGGCACTGCTCTCCTGCACCCCCCACCCCTGTGTATTGGACTGGGGAGTCCAAACCAGAGATATTTGTGGACCCCCATGGGAGTGGCTCCCAAAGACCCCTGAGGTTGCCTCACTGTTTCCCAGATCCCTGTTCCAGCCCTAATTCAGGGACCTTACAAATCTACAAAAAATCAAATCAAGCCAAATCAAAACCCACAAACCCCAGACCAGTGCCTCTTGCCTGCTGCAGTGTGGGTAGCTCCCTGGGGCCCTGGGCACATGTACAAGCTGTGCCACCTACTGTGTTGGCCACTTGCTCTCTAGGAGAAAAGAAAAGAATGGCCAAGACCTCCCTAGGTGTGCAGGGTAAATCCCTTCTGAGCCCATCCCCCACTCTGCTGTCCCCTGCAGCTGGCTCATCGCCATCCTGGCTCAGCTGAACCCCCTGTTTGGGCCCCAGCTGAAGAACGAGACCATCTGGTATGTGCGCTTCCTGTGGGAGTGATGGACCACCTTCCTGGCCCCAGGTACCAGGGTGTGGGTGTGGGGGCCCTGCAGGTGGGGAGGCAGGGAAGGCAGGTCGTGGAAGAGCTCTCCTTTGGGTTCAGGCATTCATTTTTTCAGCAAAACACAAAGGCTGAGTGCCAGCAACCAAGGGAGCTGAAGACTGGCCCCTACTCCATGTCCTGTGGTGTTTCCTAGGGAGGCATGTACCCCTGCAGCCTCTCCACACACAGCCTCGGGTGTGGGGCAGCCAGGTCATGGGAGGTGGCGGGTGAGATGGAATCTGTTCAAGCGAGGTGAGGCTAGGTCCCAGGAATAATGAGATAGCCTCCTGGACAGAGGGACAGGACAAGAACAGGGCTGAGGATGCTCTCCAGGGAGGGGGGGGTAGGGTCTCCACAGCAAGTAAGGTCTCCACAGTGACCCTTAATGTGATATTGCGTTTCAGGTGCCCCAGCTCTCTGGATGACCCTGACTGGATGTCCCTGGAGACAATTCAACCCTATCCTCCCCGACAACTGTCCTGGTCCCTCTGCACTCCCTCCTGCCAGCACCTTGGGCCCATACCTCCCAGGCCCCCCAGGTCTAGGATGCCGCATCTTCCCAGCCTGTTGGGGCCTGGGGAGGCTGAGCAGGGGCATCCTGCCCTGAAACTCCCACTGCCCTGGGGTTTTCTCCCCTCCCAAGTGGATCCCAGCTGAGAAGCTGGTACTAGTGGGATCTGTCCCTTACAAGTGGGGCTAAAGCCAGGACTCCATCCAGGCAGAGGATGGTGGCATCCCTGAGAGGGAGGGGCATCCAGACCTGGAGACTGGAGCCTGGGGTGGAGTCGGGCTGGGTTATCAGCTGTGTCCCTGCCTGCTGGGAAGTGGAGGTCCCTGTTGGGTTAGGCCAAGGCCTTTACCAGCTCTGGTGGGAAATTTGGAATCATTCTTTAATTTTCTGACACATCAAGATGTGAAATTTTTGGAATTATACTTTGGGTCAAATTTGACACCCATATGGTCAGGATCCTTTGTGGCTGTGAAGTCACTTGATGGCTTTCTCAGGAGGCTCTGTCTCCTCAGAATGTTCTACTCTGCCTTCCTGCCCTACTGGGGCCTCCCCAGGCTCACTGCAGCGTCCAGGTGACCTAGAGTTGGAACAAAGAGAGACAAGTGAAGGCCTGACTGGGGACCCCAAAACCAAACAGCAAAGGTCATGACCACAAGCATGAATGGGCGGCTATACCAGAAAGAACAGGGACACATGTCCTTAGCCCTGTGTCTAAGAGCTGACAATGACTTTGAGGTTGTGTAGAAAACAAGGATTGGGGGTTTGCATAGCTGGAGGCTTTGCAGAGCTACCAAAGCTGGTGACCTTGATAGGAGGTTGCTGTTGCTTGCGAGGCATCTTGGACTGAGCACGAGATGTTTATCAATCAGACCTGTTGTTCCTGGAATCCAGGGTCACTCTGAGCAGAGGAGACTGGAGAAAAATGGAGTCAGAGACTCCAAGTCTTTAATCCTGTTTTTAGCTATCCCTGGGAAGTTTGCAGGCAAAAGTGAAGAATCTGTCCTTGTTACAGCAGTGTGGGTACTGGGCCTCCCCTGACTCTTGCCAGCCTCTGCCCGCCAAGTGCTCCGGGCTCTGTACTGGGGACAGTGAGAGACAGACATGCAGATAATATGGGTCAGACCAGGAGGGACCTGGGGACCCTCCAGCCAGTGCCCTCGCTCCTCAGGAGAGAGCATGGGGACATCACACTCTGCCCGAACTTCCAGAGCTAGTCAGGACAAAGCTCACTCACCTTGCCTGGGCTTTTTGTTTTGTTTTATTTTTTGTCGTTTTTGTTTTTCGTACGGAGATTAAACCCCAGGAGCACTTAACCACTGAGCCACATCACCGACCCTATTTATCATTTTGAGACAGGTTCTCACTAAATTGCTTAGGGCCTTGCTAAGTTGCTGAGGTTGACCTCAGCCTCCTGAGCCACAGGTATACACCACCATACCTGGCCAGCCTCACTTATTTATTGACTATTTATTTGGTGTTTCTTCTTTTGTAGTGGCAGGAGAATATGAGTCCCTGGTGCTGGGTTTGCCAATCATTCAAGTTGGGGCCTCCCATGTACAACCCCTCAAAATCCCTTCCTCCCCTAACCCCTACAGCCTCCCTGTGAAACGGAGCATGGTAAGCATGACTTGTATTGAAAACCTGATTCTTGTCTAATAAAGAATTGTGATGTAAGATTACCGTTTGGTGGTTCAACCCCAGCCTCTGCCAAGTTTGCTGGCTGCCATGTCCTGCCCACCTGATTTCCCTTTCTTTGACGGGTGGATCTGGGGAAATGTAAAGGGGCCTAGCTACTGCTGCCTTTGGAACTGCACTTTTTGGAACATGGACACTGAGAACCACATTTCTGACACCTGGAGGAAAGCGGGCCCCTGCTCACAGGCCCGGGGGGATGAGGAGTGCCTTGGCTGGTGGAGTGGAACTTGACTCGCTACTCCCCTGTGGCCCAGACGACCCGACCAGAGCTGTGCAATAAAGCAGATCCCCAGTGTTTGTGCAGTGTGACCTGCTTCATCCCTAAGTATCCAAGGACTGGAATCACCTGCCCAGCTTTCTGCATGGGCAGAAACAGAGAGGACTGAGTACTTCCCGACCAGGGCTTATAGCTTTGGGGATGTGCTGAAAGAAGTCCTGAGGGAGTAGGAGGAACTGGGGTGACATGAGGCGGAGCCAACTTCTGAGGCCTGTGGCTTAGATTGATCCTAGGGGCAGCTGGGATCCAGAGGGTTTAAAGCAGGGAGGTGGCATGACCCAACCTGATTTCCAGAATTCTCTCTTCAGGATGCACAGTAGATAGGAGACCGAACATCTGATGACAAGGGCCATGTGCAGGTGGCAAGGACAGAAGAGTGGGTGGGAGGTGGACACAGCTTGCTGGCTGCGGGTGAGGGAGGAGGCAGTGTCTGACCTGCATGCACTGTGACCCCTGATGACAGGATGCCAAGTCCCAAGCCAGCTGGGACAGCTTGGAGGTGAGCACCGAGCAGGAGCAGGCTGGAGAGGGGGTGTGATGAGCTGATGTCTTCCTTTGTCACCTGCTGAGTTGAAACATCCAGTCAGTGGTTGGCGATGGGCTGCAAGGTCAGGACACGTGCCAGGAGATGCTGGATTGGAGTCCTGGGCTTAAAGTACCTCATGGTCACCAAGGGATGGGAGGGTCCCAGGGGGCCTCAAAAGCCCAGAATGGGACCTCCAGGAATGCCAGAGTTTATGGGGTGGGCCCATGGGGATGCTGGGAGAGGTCTGGAGCCAGCTGAGTAGGACGCCAAAGAATCCAGAGAAAGAGGATTCAAAGAGGAAGGGGTGGTCCTGAGTGTCACATGCCCCCATCGCCCCCCACAGCCAAGAAGTCAAAGCCAGCTGGCAGCTTTGGTGACAGGTGAAGTGAGCTGGGAGTGAGTGGGCAGATAAGGGGATAAAACACAAGTGACAGCGGGAGTGACGTGGCTGGGGACCCTCTTAAAGCTGGGCCTAGAACTGTCAGAGGGAGCTATACAAGGAAGGGACCTGGGGGTCAGCCTTGGGCCTGGGCACCACTGCAGCTCCTGCCACCGTAGCCGCTGTCACTCAGTCGGCCCCAGCCTGCTGCAGGCCCACTGCTAGAACCTCAGGTCTGGGATGCCTCAGGGCCCTCATGGCCCTTGGTTGGGGTGGGAGGGTGGCGGTGTCAAAACGGTTGTTTCCTGCACAAGGTTTCCGTGCTCTGGATTCGTGCCTTGTTGGTCGGAGGCCTAGAGCAAGGGTTGGCTGGAACGAACAGTGAATTCTTTGGCAGCCTTGAGCTTTCAGAAGGAACTGACATCAGGGACTTGGTGGACCCAGGGATGTGGCTTTGGGCTGCAAGAGGCCAGGCTGGACATCATGTACCAAGGTGTCTTTTTATTCTAGATTTGAGTAAGGCCCTCGCCCACATGGGAGAGGCACCAGTAAACGTCAACCTGTCACAGATACTCAGGGAACCTACCTGAAGGAAAGATCTCTCCAAATGGGCAGTGATAAGAGTGCAGGGTACCCTTGAGCCACACCCAGAAGCAGAGTGGGAAGCAGCCCTGGGGACCACTGAGGAAAGTAAGGCTGCGAAGATTAAGCAAAGCTGCACGCTTTGCCTGTGGCCAGCAGAGGGCAGTGCCTGCGTGCGAGTGAAACCTTCAGAGCGGTGAGTCCAGTTCAGGCCCCTCTGGGGTGTATCAGGCTGTTAGAGGTGGTGGTCTTAGAGTGCTGCCTTGGGCTGAGGGCAGCAATAATTCTCCAGGGAGTACCACACCCTGCATGAAACATCTTCCATCTTTTTTTTTTTTTTAAAGAGAGAGAGAGAGAGTTTCATTAATATTTATTTTTCAGTTTTCAGCGAACACAACATCTTTGTATGTGATGCTGAGGATCGAACCCGGGCCGCACGCATGCCAGGCGAGCGCGCTACCGCTTGAGCCACATCCCCAGCCCAATCTTCCATCTTTCAAAGTTGTTTAACAATGGCTGGCCAGGCACGCTGGTGCACACCTATAATCCCAGCGACTCAGGAGGCTGAGGCAGGAGGATCTCAAGTTCAAAAAAGTTTTTACAAAACCAGCTTCAGCAAAAGCAAGATGCTGAGCAACTCAGTGAGACCGACCCTGTCTCTAAATAAAATATGAAATAGGGCTGGGGTTGTGGCTCAGTGGCCCAGTGCCCCTGAGTTCAATCCCTGGTACCCAATAAATAAATAAATGATAATATCAATGGCTAACATTTATCCAAGAGGTCCTCAGGGCCACACACTGCTTAGAGAAGCCAAGGGGAAAGAGCAGAGGTATCCCGAAATCTTATACTTCTCTGGTTCCAGACCCAGTCCCCCTCAACAGTCTCCTGTGGCTTTTTTTTTCTTTCTGTCTCAGCATTGCTAAGAAATTTGGCACATCCCAATCAATGACAGGGACACCCATCTGCCCACGTACCCACTAAGGAGAGGCAGGTACTGGCCTAGCATGTGTGAGACCCTGGGTTCAATCCTCAGCACCACATAAAAATAAATGAATAAAATAAAGATATTGTGTCCAACTACAAGTAAAAAATAAATATTTTAAAAATAATAATAATAGAATCATCCAAAGCAAAACAACCCCTTGAGCACAGCCCTCCAGGGGTTTTGGTTGCTTTTTACAAAAACGGTCATTTCACAGAAACAGGATCATTGATAATTCTGGAAATGTGTGGAGCTGGATGTGAAACCACGTGGGGGTGGGTCCCCCTGATTTTCTCCTCTTCTGTGTTCTGGAAGTGACCATCTATTTATAAACCCAGGGGTTTCCAGGAACAAAATCAGTTGGCAGCCACCACAGTTTTGCTGGACTTAAATAGCAGAAAAGTCCTGTGGGGATTCAGACCACACTCCAGTTAACAAGTCTCAATAAGAATCACTCACTGTGGGTATGGTGACCAAAGAATATGAGATTTCAGCAAGACAAAACAAATACATTCAAGAGATCTCACATGTTGAGTAGAAAGTTGCTGAGAGCAGATTTCTAATGTTGTCACCTCTAAATAATATGGCTTGATTTAGCCATTCCACAATGTATACATATATGTTAAAACATCCCCCTGTACATGATAATTTTTATTTGTTAATTTAAAAATTAATAATAATAATAATAGAATCCCAGGGGCTGGAGTTTTGGCTCATGGGTAGAGTGCTGGCCTAGCATGTGTGAGTTGAATCCTGAGTTGAATCCTCAGCACCACATAAAAATAAATGAATAAAATAAAGATATTTTATTCAACAACAAGTAAAAAATAAATATTTTAAATAATAATAATAATAATAATAATAGAATCATCCAAAGCAAAACAACCCATGGTATGCTGGGACCAAGGCCAGGTCTATTGTGGCAGAAGCTCCCAGCATGGAGCAAACTTGCACACTGAGACAGAGTTCTGTGTGGTTCTTTTGCAGGCAGGCCCACACAGGTCCAGGGCCAACTGTGGAGTCATGCTGCAGATCAGTCTGCAGTGGTATTTCTCAGAGTGCAGGATGACCTAAATGCTTGAAGATGCAGGTCCCTGGTCCCATCCCCACGCCACCCCCACCAAATTAGGGTCTAACTGGTGGGATGCAGGCTGCATTTGGGGGATCGAACCCAGAGCCTCGTGCATGCCAGGCAAATACTCTGCCACTGAGCCACATCCCCAGCCCTCAGACTGCATTGTAAACCAGCTCCCAAGTGTCCTGGTGCTGAGATCCTCAAGGTCAGAGTTTTCTAACCTTGGCACCATTGACAGTTTGGGCTGGATAATGCTTTGGTTTGGGGAGGCCCAGGAGGGCTGTCCTGTGTATTAGAGATGTTTGCCCCAGATCTCTACCCAACAGAGGCCAGCAGAGCCTCTCTCACTGCTTTCAGCTGTGACCACTGTAATTTCTCCACTCTGAAATGTTTCCAGGGGAAGCTTCATGCACCAGCCCAGAATCTCTGAAAAAGAAGGTAGAAAAGTCCTAGATAAAATGGGATCCTGAGCACCCCCGAGTATCTATCACCTTTCTTCTGGCTCTCCCAGCAGTGAGCTCTGAGAGAAGGAAGCACCCAAGTTTGGGGAAATTATTGGGTGCCAGCGCAGGCACCAACGCCAGAACCAGGTGACCCTTCAGTAAGTAGTGGTTCCTGGGGGCCAGGAGAACCTGGAGCTCACCCTGCAGCGCCTCCTGAAAGGGCACGTGGATATGCTTGGGATGGAGATTCTCAGAAACCTAGAGCACCTCCACCTTGACCCCCCGACCTCAGGGTGAAGGCCACCGCCACCGCGGCAGCAAGGGTCCTCCCCCTACTGGAAGCTCAGGGTCCTGCCCCTGATGAAAGCCTGGCACCCCCTGGGGTGCGGACACCTCACCTCCGCATTCTGTGTCTCCTTTACCAGGGACCCAGGACTCTGAAGAATCACTGGCCCTTGGTTGGTGGCAGCAAGTGATTCTGCAAACATGGGTTTTTTGTTTTTTTTTTTTCCCTCTCCTCTGTCTCCAGGAGCAGTTCTCCCTCAGGTAGCAGCCCAGCTCAGCTTCAGGGTGGAGAGTGCAGAATCTAGAACTGGCTTCTAGTTCCAGCTCCACCGACAGTTAGCCAGGTGAGAGTGACTTAATCTCTCTGATCTAGCAGCGCCTGCCTCATAGAGGCTGTGATAGGAGCTGGGATGACGGACTCAAGCGCCTG